TGGTCCTGTTGACTTCTAGTGATGTCCATGATGAGAGCAATGCTTCACCACTCAACACATATAGTGCTGACGAAAGGTGTGACCTAGACATGTGAAGCACTGAAACGGCTAGGTTTTCTGTAATCTTCTGAGTTATATCAGAATCCTGAAATGTTAATATTGGAGCTGCAAAAGTCTCTAGAGGGCGTAGAAAAGTGCTTCACAAGATTGGCTATGCAGCAGAATTAACTGTAGGAGCTTTTGAAAAATCAAAGATTCCTGGGTCTCATTCCAGACCAGCTACATCAGAATCTTCAGGGGAGTTAGGCATTTTTCATATGTTCTGTAAGATAATGTTGATGCCACCATCCTGGCCTTAGTCAGCAGACTAATGTGTAAATCTAGAAATCACTGGTTTAGTTCACCTCCCTCATTTGACAGAAGGAACTGAGGCCTAGAGCACAGTTAGGACTTTGATGTCCTAAAGCTGGTTAATGACAGGGCAGACATAACCCAGACAGAACAGGTACATTTCAAGCCTCTATGGAACCCCACCATCTCTCTCACCTTTCTGTACAAAATATGATAACACCTTCAAAGAGGACTTGCACTTTGCTTTATTGGGACAATACAAGTGAGCTTAGAAGCTACATTCTGAAGTACAAGGTGTGATCAAACAGTACGGTAAATGTTTAAATTTTAAAAATTTATTACAGTAAAAGACACATTGCCATTAATCTCCCTCAAAATACTCCCCCTCGCTTCAAACACACTTATCCCATCGTTCTTGCTACTTCCTGAAGCAGTTCTGGAAGTCCTCTTTCGTGAGTCTTTAGTTGCGCTGTCATGGCTGCCTCGATGTCTTAAACCGATTCAAAACGTTTACCTTTAACGGTCATTTTGACTTTGGGGAAGAACCAGCAGTCACACGGTGCCAGATGCAGTGAATAAGAATGAGGACACACCATCATGTTTTTATTTGACAGAACTTGTCCTACTAGAACCCATGTGTGACATGGAGCCTTTCTGTTGTGATCACAAAATATGGTGAAGGCTGCTGCTGAGTGCCATCCAGCAGAAAGGCAGGGATCTTCAATACGGGAAGCGGTGCATCAAACCTTAGTAACAGTGTGTCACAAGTTTCAACTTGTTTGGTGCAGTCAGTCGGGTGTGAGCTATGATTGGAAGAAGGTGTGTTTTAAAAGTATGCCATAAATCATCCTCATCATGACCACACTCCGTGTCACA